AGCAACAGCAGCTGTAAATCGTGCAATCAGTGTGATGATGGTGTGATTGCTGCATAGAGGAGGCAGTAATGTCAGCCTCTCAGGTTCATGAGACTCCTGGGCTTCATATTTTCTCTCTATTCTCATCCTATTAGAGATTCTGACCCTCCCCCTCCATCCCCACTCTCTCTGCTAGCCCCTCTGCCCCTCCTCCCCCCCCTCTGTCTCCCCCTCTCACACACATACAGTGTGCCTCTCTTTTCTAGACACACACACACATACACACATATATATACGTATATATATACAAACACACACACACACACACACGGGTGAACTCACTGCACTCGTACTCACTCTCTTTCCATCCCTCACATGTTCACACACATACTCGCTCACAAGCTGGAGTATGTGTGTGTGTGTGTGTGTGTGTGTGTGTGTGTGTGTGTGTGTGTGTGTGTGTGTGTGTGTGTGTGTGTGAGGGGGTTACTGAGCTGGTAGAGATGTGAGGCTGGAAAAAGGCGTACGAGGAAATAGAGGGAGATGGAAGGATGACGAGTTGAGAGAGTAAAAGAGGGAGAGAGAAAGCAAGTTAAAATGAAAGCAAAGAGAGATGACTAGAGTCTGTGAATGCAGCACGAACGGTGAATGAATGTGTGTTTTTGTGTCTGTATGTTGGATTGCATGTGCACCCAGAGGTTTGGTGTGTAAGCAAGCTCTTTCCCTCTCCTTCTTTATTTTTCTCTTGTTTTCAGCTTTTTGCAATTGCAGCCTGGCGGAGACAAAAGCTGAGGAGCTACATGGAAGCAATTGTTAAGGCAGGCAGGTAGGTAGGTAGGTACAAAGCAGAATAATGGAATCAATACTATTGTCTGTAACCTACCTGCCGCTGGGCTCGCTGTCTGGCCCCAGCACAGACTATCAGAGAGAGAGAGAGAGAGAGGAACCACGGACTGACTTTGACTGGGGGAGAAAAGAAAAGAGGCTGGCTGGAAGGTGATTGTCTTTTTTCTTTTATTTACATTTTTCACTCACATGGTTGATTGTTGAGTAAGGATAGTATTTTTATTCTGTATGCAGAGCTGACGTGTTTTCATCGGAAAGTTTTTCATTCAGCTTTGGTTGTGTTTGCACTCGTCTGTATTTGCTGGATAAATGTGTCATTCTGTGTTTGCACTATGAAAAGTCTTATTTAGTGTCTGCGCTTAATGTCTAAGTTGTAATTCCTTCTTTCCTTTCTGACCTTCCTCATTTGTGAATCTGAGGAGGGAAAAGCACGTCTTAAATTTACTCTACTGTATTCAATTTTTTATTTTTTTTTACACCAGGCTGGTAGATTAGCAGAAATTAGCAGATGTCGAGGAATTTAGATGCAATGATAGGCAGTGTTAGACAATATGTATTCACACCTGCTGCAGTTATCATCAATCTGTTCAACACGGACCTTTCCATTTCTGTTCTTCTATATAATTTGGCACAGCAAATGTTATGTTTAATTAATATCAACATAAATGACAGTATTGTAAGACAAACTAAGAGTAGCCTCCGCAGACAAATCCATAATTCATCTCTAGTTAAAACGAAGACAAATGTCTGCTGTTCCCTCTGGTCCGATCCAGCTGCCATGTCTGTCACATTCATCCTTAATGGAGACAATCTAAAATCACACCTTTGACTTCAAAAAAAATCTTGAGGCCTGCAGATCATGAAACCTGCAGGTAACACATGACATGCATTATTGCAATTTGATGCAGGACGTGACTCAGGCACTTTTTCATCGTTGTGCACATTCACGTTTAGGTGTTTACGAGATGAAAACTTACATCTCCTTACAGACAGAGTCATAAAAAGTCGAAATTTCTCTTACCACAATATATAAACGTAATCAGCCTTTTCTAGTTAGCATGTGTAATTCTGTCTGTCTACCAGTGGGTGGCGTTGGCTAATGACATTTCTTCGCAATAGAAAAATGTAAAGGACATTTGACATTAACCACTGTATGGAAGAAAAACCCAGTTTGATATTGTTTTATTTCCGATAACCATGACAATGTCATTCTGTCAGTGATTCTTTGCTTCACTTACAGGTCAATGAATGTCTCAAACGCCCTCCTTGGGCTGCTGCTTTTCTTTCTTCTCATCATAATCATCAAGTTTTATTTTTCCTGGTAAGTTAACAGACAGATTAGGTTTTTTTGCATGACAGCACTGATAAAAAGTACTGTATTATTTATTAAATACTCAATTTGGATTGTACAACCCTGCATATTCATCTAGACTCTAACTCCAAACAGAATAAAATGAACAGGAAGCACAGTGAGGATAAACTACTCTGATAACTATCCCTCTCTCACGCAAAAGATTGCCATGTTTCTGAGTGAAGAGTAAGGGTTAGGAAGAGTACAACGAAGTTTAATAAATGTCCTTTTCTTTGACATGTAAGTTATGTTCTCCATTTTAATTCTGCGTCTAATGTTGCTTACAGACTCATGAAGCTGAAAGCCCTTTCAGTTCGCTGAGCTCTGAAAAGCTATTAGACTCTGTAATTTCAGTCAGTGCTCAATAAATCATGTTCAAGATGCCCATGACATTTAACAACAATTCAAAATTAATCGTTTCCACTAAATAAATACCGTCTGCTCCATAATGTGCTCCACTGCTGCATTACTGACATTAATTCGAGCCTTGCTGTGAAAAACACTACTTTGCTTTTTATTCCTGCACTGTATAGTAAGAAATTGAACGTGTTTGAAATGTGGACAAATATGTCACGCTTATGTGTTGATTCTTTTTTAATTTAAATGAACAGTTTTGCTACTCTGCAGCAGACAAGGGGACCAGTCGGTGCCGCAGAATCCAAATGTCAGATGAGGTCATGTCTTTGTCTGGGTGCAGCCACTCTGCAGTTCTGCTTTTTAACAAATGTAATCTCTGTATTTATTTATTTTTCTGTATCAACCTGGGCTGAAACGTCTTTTTAATAGTGTTTTTTTTATCTTGATGAAATTGTAAAAATACCCTCCCTGTGATTTTTTTATTTCCCAGTATGCCCCTCTGTCCCTGAGACCCTTAACCTGTGAGGTCAAAGCAGGTCACAGGTGAGGTCCTCGGGAACAGGGCTGCATTCAGTTTCAACGTCTAAAAAAACAATACTTTTTTTGGCAATAATATGGGGTTGAAGTTCTTAAGTTTAAGTTTCTCCCTCATCTCTCAAAACCCTCTTGAGGTTTTCTTTTGGCTCTAATGTATCTCAGTGTGTTTTTCTTCAGTACGTTGACTGGTTATATGGTTACCTGTCGTGTCAAGATAAAGACTTGTCGGACTGGACAAGAAGGAGACCCCCTCTCCTGCAGCAACAGACACTTTTAGGGGGCTAACCCTATCGGCTGGCTTTGTGTCTTTAAAACCCTCACTGGGGGGCAAACAGGAAGACAGCCCAGGGTTCTGACCCCGTCGCTAACATCAGCAGGAAAAGTTTCTGTACCTTGTGGTTCAACGGTTGCATACTTTTTTATTTTACCTCTGTGTGTTAATAATGTATGAAAATTATATAATATCTTAATAATATGGCATTAAGATTGATGTCTGACTTTATAATATAATGTATTACTTTTACTCAAAGTTCTAAAGGGATCATTTTCAGTCTCTTTCTTTTGACCTCATGTAAACTGTATCTTTAGCCAGACAGAGCCAAAAAAGGTACCAGCTCTTGAATATAAAGCTAATTCATCGCATTTTGTAAAGAGTTCTGCCTTTTCTTTATCTGCGTGTAAGGAGAGTGTGATCGTTCCCTTTACAAAAGGTGTCTTTTTTTCCTTACAGATTTAATAAAGACATAAATGATCAAGTTGTAATGCTTATAAATCTGAGACGAGTTTTATGGAAGTCCCTTGCTACAGCATATGCAGTACACAAAGCAGGCTTACTTAAATGCACTTCAACACAAATACACACAAACACACAAACACACACAAGCACACGCATGCATATTTGGGAATTTCCATGTCCGACCACCCGACTAGCTATCTGACTTTGGCAGTCCTGGAGCAGACTCTTGCCTAATATTGATTGGCTTGTCTGTGTGGAGACAGATGAATGCATTAGTACCCAGCTCACCCTGCCACTGAAAATATATTAAGTTCATGTATTAGGCACCCTGTCTGGTTGCCATGGAGATGCACTGGGAGTGAGGGACAAGGGAGGGTGTGGGGGGGGGGGGGGGTGTGAAGGAAGAGGAGGAGGATGGGAGACGAGTTAGGGATACAGGATGTGATGAGGCAGTCAACTTGATTTGTGGTCCCGCTCTTTCTCTGCCTCTTGTGTCACTTGTGTCCTCTCTTCTTTCATCTCTTATATTTGCTTTGATTTGTTTTGTTTCCTTTTTTTTTATCTTTCACTGATACTTTTTGGATTTTTTTTAAAACTCCTCAAGCAAGCGAAAACACTTTCTCTTCCTCTTAATCGATTTTGTTGCCCCTTTTGTTCCTTTTTTTTCACTTTCATTTACGCTCGTCATCTCCGCTCCTCAGCTAAATTTGATTATTAATTTGTATATTTCTCTTGGGGAACCTTTTCCCAACACGTTTACCACTACATCTCCCTCTGTACACAATCATTTAATTCCCTCTTCGTCTGCCCCTCCCCACCACCACCACCGCCACCCACCCTCCACCATCGCCGTTGCCACCTCCCTCCTTGGCTCTCTCCATCTCTGTGCTCTGCAGTAAAACTGGTGCATTGAGGCAGCAGGAAATGGGGACTAGAAACAATAGAAAGGAGGGAAGTATGGAGGGGAGTCTGTGATGCTCTCTTCTTTAAACCAAGCATATCGACAAAACCAGCAGGATACTTAAAAATTATGAATTAGATGCTGGATATCGACATATTCTTTATTTTCAAAAGCTGCCTTTGGAATATAAAACTATGGAATTTCCACATTTGTTGTCCCTAAGAGACCAGGGTTTGAATAAAAATAGTACATACTGAAACCTTTGTTTGACTTTTTACTGCTCATGCTTAAAAATGTGCATGACTGTTTTGTGGCTGATGAGTGTAAGCTTGTTGCTTAGCCCGTCTCTGAGCTGCTTTCAGTGCTTCGTTGATCTACTAGACAGTGGTCGTCTGTGTTCAGGTCTCATTTTAACTCGGCACAATGTTAGAAATGTAGACGCCTGCTTCAGGATGCTGGACCGTATCTTCAACAACAACGAGAGGGTAATTGAGGCTGGAAGAGTAGGTGTGAAAAATGATCTTTGTTTTATTTTTTCAAAATCATGTTAAGGCCTAGGCAAAGCAGATATACATGTCATTTAGTTTAAAGAACAACAATCAGCAGAGCAATGGAGGGAAGAAGATGCTTTTTAGCGTGTCATGTTTTCTTTTACAGGTAAGGGCTATGACAAACAGCTGAAAGAACTCTTGGATTTAGAGATCCTGCCCATAGTGGAGGAGTTTGACAAAAAGGAGAATAAAGGTACCTGAACACTTACTCTCACAGACACATTAGAGCACAAGTGAATGAGTCTTTTTACTGCTTCAGAATTGTAAAGAAAGGTCAGAAGTGGAGGGAAGTTAGAAATGAGAAATTTTAAAATGATGCCCTGAAGCACATAATTCAGCAGCAAGATGTGTTGAGCCAAATATTTCTGTCTACCTCCTCCTTCTCCTCCCATCCGTCAGACACAGTGTACGAGCAAAGGTTGCAGACAGCAGCAGACAATTTCATCGCCGCTGCCTCCAAACTGCCCAGAGGTGAGACGTGGTCTCGTCTCTTTTCCCTTCATCTTTTCATCTACACTGAGGCCTATATCACATCATTATGGATCCCTCTGATCTCTCCACTCTCTCTTTAATAAGCTTATTACAGCCTTTCCAACACTGTGGAAAATAAAGGAAGCTGTCAGGTTAAACTGACTCATACTTGTGGATGTTAGCACTAAATTATGGATGAAAATAAAATTATGTGATCAAAGTTAACTATCTAACTTTGTTTTCAGTCTCTGGGTGTTTCCCCCCATGTGGTGAGTGGCTTTTTATTAAATATTGTTTTGTCTCTTCAGTATCAGAATTTCTGTTAATCAGAAAAGTTATTTATGACTTCCATGCATCAGGTTTCCAGAGTGCAGGCGCAGTATATAACTGTGTTACCTGCAAGTATGACTCCTGTGAATTCCCTCTGGACTGTCCAGGTGAGTATTAAACATCAGTCACACATATTGGATTACTGATGCTGTTACATCACAATCTTCAAATATGAAAAAAAAAAAAAGTGTGCTAATCCAGACTGGACACATCCTTACATAACTATATTTTCACCTTCATAAGCATCCACTCTGGATCCTTGAAATGCTCTTAGCAGAGAGTCAGGATTTGAAAAAAAGAAAAAGAGACAAGGTTTTATTTCCACACATTATATCTTCTGCACAGAGCCCCCAAGGTACTCTTTAAGTCCTTGGCTTCTTTATGCAAGGTGACAGTTGACTCCCACACACGATGGTATTTGTATCAACCCTGTACAGCGCAGCCGCTGTTTAGCATATCATCACTTTTACTCCACTCCTCAGAGAATGGGCTTAAGTATTATCATTAAGAAGGGCTCAAACTGCAAGAGCTCCCCCCCAGCCACCCACCCACCCCCTTGTGTGTATGCTATATGTGTGTATGCACCTGGTTGGCTGTACTGTATGTTGTTTTTCTCTCAGTTAAAGATATTCAAGTAATGGAGAACAGCAGAAGCCAGGTGCAATGTGATGTGCCATTTCGCCTACCAAATGATATTGAGGTGATCTGGAGGTTTGCAGAGGAGGTACGCTGGGGATATGGTGAACAATTGAGGGTCACTGAAACGCCTCTTAAAGAATTAGAAGAGTAATATCACTCTCATTTCTGCCATTCAAATATGAAGATGCAGCGAGGACAGCGATCTCACACTATTCAATCTACAGTATGGTCGTATATCAGTCACAGAACATTAATGTCATCACCCCCAGCTCACAAGGAACTTTCCTAAATACATATTACTGCATTCTCAAATCGTCCCACCCTGTCTTCACCCTGAAAGTTTTTGACAGGGCTGGCACTGAAAAAAAAAAAAGGAGAAAATTCTGCTGTTTGTGTTCACATATGCAGCTCACCCAGAAACATTTAGGAAGTTCTCAGGAGTTTTGTGCATGTGGTAAAGCCCCAAGTAAGAGATTGAGTTATTAAAATGAACAGGTTGAGATTTTTTGTTCAAAAACACTACTTACTGTACACATATACAAGACAACATCAGCAAAGAAATAAGGTTTACAGCGTTGTCCACAAGGGGGCAACAAAATCACACAAACTTAAAAGTTCTTCTTGAGCTTAAAATGACTTTTTCATGTTCTGAGTTTTTGATGGCTTTGACTTGTTCACCTGACCGGTACATTTAAGCTGATTTTACACAGTTAAAAATAAATGCGTGCACATAAAAAGACAAAGGGGAGGGCCCCGCATCAATCATTTTGGAACCAACCAATACAACATGACACGACACAGCTCAACACAACACAATGTTGATGGCTTGCTTATAGTAAAAAGTTAAAACAGAACCTCTGAAGTTGAATAATGAAGTTGTGGTTTAATGGGCAGGTTTATGTCTTGTTATATTCCAGTACATATACGCAGACTTTCTATTTTATGCATTTTTTTGTATAAGTTCAAGCATTTGGGGTGTTTGTCAGGGAACTTTTGAGGAACTTGAAGCCAAATTTTCTTCAAAGCCATGTTAGCTGTTCTATGGCATTTTGCTAAGCTAAGTTAAATAGCTAATATAAGATAGGCCTACTACTTAACCCAAATTGTTGAACTTTTCTTTTTGCACTACTTTTTCTTTCTCAAATTATCTCCATGGATGTTGCCATACATGATTGCTTATTACAGTATTTGAAGGATTATACATTTTTTTTGGACAGCTGAAAACCCGGCAGGTGGATCAGTTTAAAGAAGTGACCGCAGGGATGGACAAGCTCTACTCAATCCGTTCAACCAGCCTGCACCATCAGGGCACATACCAGTGTGAGATCTACTCCGGAGCACGCTCCATTGTCAGACTATACTACTACCTCACAGGTAACCTGACTCATCTCTTTTAGGAGAGGAAACACTCAAAGAAACATTTTGGTACCTGATATGAATATACTAAAAAGGGATTTAGATGTATGAATGAATGTTGAAATATTGAATGGGATAAAAAGTTAGAATCATATTGAGTTTTTAAAATAAAACTTTATTGATGTTTACTTTTCTTTAAGTACCAAATTGAGTAATAATCAGAGAAATATTGACAGTTTATGAAACAAAATGAGCTAAAGGCTTTGCTTTACAAGTTGATATCATGGAGGCTTGCATTCAAATAATTCTGTATGTATAATGTAGAAAGATGTCAATGAGATGCGTATTTATGTAAAGAAATATGGGCATGCATATTCATGTATCTTTGACTACCTATGTATGTATACATTTAATTCCTATATTTAATGCACATCCTGACTGGCTAGTTTTTCTTACCTTTTACTTTTTTGTTCTTTTTGATTTTATTTGTTATTTCTATCTTATTAGACTTTGCCTGCATACTGTTGATGATGAGTTCTAAACTCAATAAAGTCGAGTCACAATTAGTCAGTGTGAGTTCTAACTTTCCCTGTATCCGTCTCTTCCTGTCTTCTTTGTCAGTGACCCCCCAGGTTGTGGTCGGCCACACAGAGCTACAAGAAATATTTGACATGTCTCTGCTCCCAGGAGGACGTTTAGTCCCTGCGCCCGATGGATCTCTCCACTCCCCCCTACTCCTCCCCTCACCCCTGCTTCTCACCGCATGCTTAACATTTGTGCTTCTGCTGCTCTTCCTTTCCCTGGGGTAAACTTATATGATCAACACAATATGAGACATTTAAATCCAAGAACAACTTTGCATTGAATTCAAGGTACTTCTAGTCACATAGGCCCTATTGCTTGGTATTTAACTCCAACTTGTTCTTTTGCTCTTGCAGGGCTCTTTATTTATCATCAAAAATAACCAATGACGCTGAACAAGAAATTGGAGATGAAGATTTAGGCTTCTTTAGTGAAAGCAAAGAGCAATAAAGGCATGTCATCAATCCTCTGGTTTTCAAAAGGCTCTTATGTCATGGCTGAAAGAGAGCCTGTTTTCAACACTTTTCACCACTAGATGGCAGGATGTACATCAGTATCTGTTGACCCCTCTCTACACTGAGCTGCAACATTTACTTGGACACTACCGAAGAAATGTTCTTTTTGCTCTAGTCCAACATTCATCTAAAAGTGATTCTTTGCATTGTCAAATTTCAGAAGATATACTTTTTAATATTCATGCATTTTAAATTATTTTAAACTAGAAAATAAATTAATCCAAAGGAATATAGCCCTTTAAAAAGTAAGATAATGAATGATCAAAATTTTGAAATGTTGACTATTTTGTCAAACACTTACAACTTCAACTGGCGTGAAATTTTGAATGATGTTCCTGAACTCGTAAAAGATTATTTTAATGTTGCTGCTTTCACTTTAGAAAATAAACAATTTTACTTTTGGTTTCAACAGCCTATCACAAGGTAACATAGTACATTATTTATTTGTATCAACTCAAAATAAATTTGCTTTTGTTTGGCGTGACGCTACGGAAAAATATATACAGGCAAAACTGAAAAAAGTTGGGTATAATCATAATGGTCTTGGTTGCACTTTCAATGGCTGAAAAAGTCCAAGATGTAAAGTAGCAGGTGTTTGACTCAGGGACATCCATAGAGGTGCTGATAGAGCTGTAAAATGGAAATGTATTTGTAAAGAAAGTTTAGGCTTCTTTTGAGCTGCTGTTTTTTCGCTCGCGGGCTGTTAGGACACTCCAATAGGAAACAATAGAATTAGAATATTTACAGTCTATGAATTAGATTTTGACGCTGTTAGGACACGGTGTTACAGTCTGCCTAAACAGACAGGCCTTCAGGTGACCACAAGGTGACAGCAACGCAATTTTGCATGAGAAATACAGAATGATAAAAAGAATTGAACTTGTTATACATTAACAGTGTGTCAGATAATATGTGGTTGCTAAAACAAAACAAAACATTGAGTGAATACAATCTGAATAATGTGGTGGGATGGGGAAGTACTTCTTTTGCAACAGATATTTACACAAAGTGTGACACTCTAGTCATATTTGCCAACATGTCATTTTTTAAAAAGATTCTAGGACCTTTCAAGGTTGAATGCCTCACCCAAACTTCTCTGATGTCAAAGTCTGCCTTTGTGGTCTGTTGATAAGTGAATGGCTGAACTCCTCAATCATGACATAGCATATACAGTATATCTTAATATACTGAGGTCAGAGCTGGCTCTTTGACGTAAACTTATCAAGAGTTAGTATAAAGGGATGTCGCTAAAAATGTATTAGATAAGTAAAAAGAAATAGGGGATTAGTTAAATAACTACTTTAAAAAATGTTAAATACTGTTTTTTATCCATCACCTGAAAAATAACAGTAATTGTTGTTACTTTAACAAATTATTATTATAGTTTTTCTTACAATCTCCAAATTTTCATTTCATGTTGCACATTATTTTTTGACACATTTTTTCGCGACAGTTTCCACAAAAAGCTAAACTGCTTTGACTGAGGAGAGATATCAGCTCATACTTTTGTCCTGACAACCCTTCTTAATTCTCCACACAAGGTTTCTTTAACCTTCTCCAAATCTTTCGACATTGTGAATCACTGCATTGCCCCAAGGCTGCACATAACAACGGTATACACTCTTGACCCTGTTTCTGTTTACAAATGTATTACCTTTAATGAACTTCCACTACCTACCAGCTACACAGTCCAAAGACTGTAAAGTCATCCATTATTTACACTCCACTTTCATGGTGGTGGCTGTGGCTTTTCTGGTCTATCCAATCCATCCCTCCTTTTGATACAAACACCAATCAATTATGCATATATAATGTAATGCTTTTATAAATAATCATGTGTCCCCCTCAGTCTTGCTATGTAGAGGTACTCAGGGGTCTATCCTCGGACCATTCCATCTTTCATCTCTGCATTAAATCTCAGAAAAAGCTACATATTTTCACTTTTTACATGAATGGAAATTGTTTAATTCAGCACTAGTTATGCAAACGCAGATATGGTTGCTTGTTATAAAGAATTCAACTCACCCTTTGATTTACAAGTGTCAGTGACTCTGGAAGATATAGTTTGTAATGGACTCTAAATATAACACATGTACTTCCCTTTATCTGCCCATACTTAAAATGTACTGATAAGATGAACTGATAAAAACAAAGCAGAGATATCTAATTTTCCATCAGGTCAAAATTATCGAATGATTTGTGTGCAGGATTTACAAATTATCGATACATTACAGAAGCTGCACCAAATTAAATCCATACTGTTCAACTTTTAATAGTTATAATATTGATTACAACAGGAAACATATCTGAAACATATCTATCTTACATTGCACCTTTTTTACATTTTGTTTTTATTTTTTATATTTTATATCTTACATTTAATTATATTTTATATATTGTAATAGCTTCTTATACTGTATTATTTAAGTTGTTGCTAGTTCTGCGTTATTTCCTTGTTAATTGTTTAGCACCAATACACCAAGTCAAATTCCTTGTATGTGTAAATGTACTTGGAAATAAACCCTGATTCTAATTCTGATGATTGGTTTCTTCTCCTTCTTCTTCTTCTCTTGTTGCACAACATTGCCGTACATTTGAAGCCGCCGAGTAAAATTTGGTTTCATGTGTCCATTAGAGTGAGATCATGTCCAACAGTCAGTAGGTCCTGAAGGGACAACAGAACAGCATATTTCAAGCCTGAACACTTCAATACACACGTTATTAAAGGAATGCTCTGCTACAAATTGTTTTTAACTTTCTCTCAATAGTTACATAGTTGCTGAGAACCTTTTGTTCTGATAGCTGCAGCCACTGTAACCGTTGTGAGTGGTTCCAAGTACAAGAAGGAGATAGCAGACAAATTAGGCATAACTTGAATCAATGCCTGCATCTTGCTGAGAAGCATAGTGCCCATTCATAAAGAAAGAATAACCACCACTTCTTTTGTTTTTATTGCTCTCACCTCTTCCATTGTTTTTACCTTTTTTTATTGCTGTTTAGCTACTGTGAGTGAGTGTTCTTGACTAAATCTGCAGTGTACATGAGTTTCTGCATCAACAAACAATCTCACCATGCTTCATTATACGTGTAAAACAAGTCAATCAACATGAGTTCTTTCCATGAAGACTGTAATAATTTAGGATAATTTTATTATGGGCTATTTTTCGTGTCTTTTCTTTTGATTACTCATAGTCCTTGCTCTGTGGCTGAAGATGAATTTCCAGGTGAGTGGGCAATAACGTATTTGTTTTATTCTTTATGTCTGTTGCTTCTTTGATTAAGTTTGAAAACTTCCTGTACAGATGAAAACTTTATTCCTTAAGTTATTGTTTCTTAACTGTGGCCCTTTAAGTATTGATAGTTTTAAATACATACTGTCAATGTTGCACCTCTCTTCTTCTCTCCAATAAAAACATGTTTAAAACAAAAAAAATTACTTAAGTTAAAATAATAGTTAAAGAACTTACAACAAAGCGATTTCAACACAAAATTCAAGACAGGAAATACAACACAGATGTTTTGTCTAATCAGAAGATTAGCCTTTTCCACTGTGTTTTTTTTATTTACACTAGAATAAGATACATCCAAACATTACAAACATGTAAAAAAAAAGCTTCCATTTCAGATGATCATTTTAAAAACCTGTAGTTTTCTGCTCACATGAACGATGTCTTACTGTTGGAGAAACACAATGTGAGGACTGACTGAGATCTGCGAGACTTATAAAGCACATGCTGAGTATCTAAATATAGTCAGACGTGACTCAACACTATATGTGTCATTTAACGGGCAGATTGCTTGTACTTTTTCCGATGAACCGCTCAGTTGCTCAGACAACCAATGATGCATTGTGACAAAACTTAAAACAGGAAATGTAAACTCTGAGGATGAAAAATCTTGTCTGAACTATTTTCACTTGACTTCTCACTTACTTGAGCCCCTTTTGCTCTGTACTGTATGATGTTTCTTGAAATGCAGAAGGTTTTTTTTTTCCCAACTCAGCCTGTCTATATAAATGGGTAATAGGCAACAAAGAGGAGTGCCCTTCAGGTTTAAAAGCATCATATATACGTCACATTTCCTCAAGAAGATTGTTGTTGACAGAGTCATAAACCTTGACTTTCTTCAGAATAGCATGTGGATATAAGGCGTAAATCTTTACACCTTTCATTGCTGCTTACTGTACACCTATTCTAAAGAAAGCAATCATGGTCTATTTATTTCTTAGTTCAGATCCAATTTATCATGACTTGAAAAACACTTTCAGCACTGTGACCTGACATGGAAAATGCCGTTATGATATCAGTTGAAAGTTAAGTTGACCTTTGGCAAATATGAGTGAAGACTTTAACAACACCCTGCATATTACTGCCACGATTGCATATCTTATAGAACTGACCTGATTGTGACTGCATCATTAATCTCCTTCATCTATAAAATATTTCAGACTCTTACACCAATTTGGCAAAACTTTAGGGGAATTATCCTTATTGTTGTTGTTGTTTTTTTTTTGTATGTTCCAGCACGAGAAAATGTCTGTGGGGAGCCCAGCAGGAGGGCTGCAGCTTCAGCTCAGACACATGTGACATTCTGTGACACTGATTGCTCCACACAGAGACTTCAAAAAGTTTGGGAAAAATTGTGGCCTCTGATTGGTGTCCCCTGGTATGTAACTTCAAACTATGTGTTTTAACGCAACTTCCAGTAAATGATGGCAGCCCCACCAGTATGAGTGTGCATGTTTCAGCCGAGGTCGTCACTTGAAAGCCGTCTCTGCAGACTGGGGGAACACCCTTCATTTAATCTGTACAAACACACTGTGCCAGAAATAGCTAAATGATCTAACTGAGGTCTTTATTTTTATTCTGAATCTTGGCTTATTTTCTCATCTCTTACCCATTGAAATAAAAAAAAGTTATATGACAAAAACACAGTGAAAAATACCATAATGGTCCAGATGACCACAAGGGGAAATATGTCAAAACCGGCTAGTAGGAAGTTGTTTTATTGAGTTGATGTGTGGAAAAGACGCACATCATGATGATATATTATATGCAGGGGGTGTGATTTCCTCATATCTGCTGCAGTGAATCATGACGCATGAAGTCCTAATCGTAACCATTGTTGAGGTTTTTACATGATCTGGAGGAGCAGTTGAAGTATTTGCCAAAGTTTACCCAATACTTCGTAAATTACAGCTTTCTACAAGAACACATGGTCTGCTTGACATGAATCTGACACTACACTCTGTGGTCCACACGTCTTCTTCCCGTTTGTAACAATTTTAACGTGAGACCCAGCATGTGTGCCAGCTGAGGTTGTTACTCGTTCTGATGTCAGTGAAGGAGGCCCAGACAGGGTGGAGGAGGACAAGTTAATTGAAAACAGACACGCGGGGAAGTGATGTTTGTCTGCGTCAGACTTGTGAAGTTTTTTGTTTCCTTTCTCTCCTTTCCCTGACTCACTAAATCTTTGTTGAATTTCTGTAGTAAATCATCTCCGAGGTCTGAGATCCACGTTGGCTGTGGATCCATGACGGAAATGTAATTAGGCGATCAAAGACGCTGTATCCATGTGGCGTCTGATTAGTAAGCCCAGTGTCTACTTTAGACTCTTTCAGGTTCCTGGGATCCACAATCTCCCAGGACCTGAAGTGGACCTTCCACATAGACACTATGAGATATCCAGTCGGTTGTCTGCACCTCCATCACTGTCTGGTTTGGATCTGCAACCAAACTGGACAGACACAGACTGCAACGGACAATCAGGACTGCAGAAAAAAATCATTGGTGCCGACCTGCCCCCCATCCAGGACTTATACCGGTCCGGGGCCAGGAAACGGGCAGGTAGCATCATTGCAGACTCCTCACACCCTGGACACAAACTCTCCGTTACAGATCACTGTACACCAAAAGAACCCGTCATAAGAACAGTTTCTTCCCCCAGGCTGTCACTCTGATGAACTCTTAACAGTCACAGCGTGTCAGACCCGTCACTATGAAATAAACCTGGACCCAAACTTGTCACTGTGAATGTAAATATAGGTATATTATTTAATTTAAATAATCAACCTATGCTCGCCTTGAATGTAAATACTGTAAAACTCTGTCACTCATGTCAATTAACACATCTGCCACATAATTACATGTTTACTTCAGCATCTTTTGCACTACTAACCACTGCTCTATTATCTCATTAATTCTAGTACATATTAGTCTTTGCTTATTTTGTGTTATTTTGTATTTATTGTTGATATTTAATCTTGTACTTTTGTGGCGAGCACAGTTCACATAAGTAAAATTCATTGAGTGTGTAAGCAGATCTGGCCAATAAAGCTGATTCTGATTCTAATGTTGATAATGGTCTGAGGAAATACAGTCACTTCGACTCATTTGGGAAAATGTTCATGTTTGCGAAACTACAGTTGTTTTAACAGCCACCAGAAGCCCTGACTCACAATGGCAGATCTTCACGCTGATAGCGTCTGCTCAATCACAAGTGTTTCTTGATGATGCCAGAGTGTGATCTTGTGATGATCACGTCAAAGTCTGCTGTCATATAACATCATTGGAAGACAAATGAGCTATGCTTGACAATGTGGCTATCCTCAGCTGCACTCAACAAAAAAACAAATCAAAGCCACAACTGATGTCTCCATTAACTATGATGTAGGAGCATGTTCTGCACGGTTGGATGAAATATTTAGGTTTTACCTAAGTTAAAGCACCAGTACTACAATGTAAAAAATACTCCATAATAGTTAGGTTTTCCAAATGTTACCCATACCAGGGAGTCCTAACCAGGGTTTTAAAGTTGAGTTAAATGGGGTGATCAATGGTCCTTACGTCTAAGACCTCTTTTCAACCATTGTTTAATCAGTTAAAATGTCATCAACATGTGACAAATCAAAAATCTGTTTGAACATTTGTTCATACTAGGGTACAAAGAGTGACTATAGGATTTTTGTAGGAGTCATTTTGTAGCAGCAGGAGAATAGTGGTCTACAAAAAGACTTATTTCAACTCATTTAATCTTACATGCATTGTTTTTTTGTATTACCCTTTATAGACTGTGTGTTGTTAACAAGAAGGTTCCAGGATTTAACGTGAACAGTTAACACTTCTGAAAAAGCGAAAGTTGTGCCCTAACATGCAGGCACACCAGAGTTTGGCAGTGAGGCAACAATTAAGATGGCATATTTACAGCTTCACAGCTTTGAAGACAGATTTAGAACATTCCCTGGCCTTACTGAAATCTGCAGATTGAGGTAAAGATTTTACAAACACACACAATACTTCACGTTGACATTATACTTTGTAAATTATAC